AACATATTACATAGACATATATACATAATAAGTATATGACATAGAATGTTCATAACTACAATATAGGTAAGTAGAAATGCACGCAATCGATACTTGGTAAGCAGTCGCTGTAGAAATACTGAAAACAATACATTATTGTCAGCGAGGCCTTAACCCAATTTAATCACGGTTTCACAATTTCAGTGTTTTTCAAAATGAATATTGTAATTAGTCGCATGATGATGCATAATGGTTACTTGCAGTGGTCACAGTACACACGTTTTAGGGTCATAATCCCTTGTTATCGTTGAGTAAATATTTAAAGTTCGTTTCTTACGTAACCATTTCAACAACCAAAGTTGCGTAGCTACTGTGTAAATTTTCTAGAAGAAAAAATAGTCTATCTAATTTTAAAAATAATGAAACTGTTTCTTTTTGTATCTTTATGCCTGTGTTGCCTTGCACCGTATCTAACCAACGCCTAGTACACAATAGTAACGTTACCTAGCTGATAAGTAACAGCATAATTAAGTTACGTAATAAAATTACAACTGAGTTGATACTCTGGTCGCTAGGCATGTCGGTACTCCATTTACACACTTGGCAGACGGTCTGACACTCTGGCACTGAAAGCGTAAACTAACTATAAATACAAAAAAGATGTACCTGGCGCTAAGAGGGCACTAATCTACTAGTACCGCTATATTTTTTCTTATATGTCTACGATTCTTGAACTACCGAATTGTCGTTCTTTGACCTTTACATCATATATTACCAACAATATTTTGTCAGTTTATTTTAAAATATTTTGTTGGCATTGCACCTACAGACTAACGGATATAAGTAGCACAAATACCTACCAATGTTTGCACGATAGTGCAGAACATTTTATCACAAGATAAATTGATTTTGTTATCAGATATGGTGAAGGAGAAAAAATGAACGGAAATCTCTGTTCCTAAGGTTGGGCAATTTTATTATCGGCGAATTTTGTAATAATAATCTAATAAAAATCGGTAGGAAAGTTATGAACACCCCAAATGCAATCTTAATCCATGTTTGTAAACTTCCGCACATACATTTACCCTTATTTGTACTGACGTATGCTTACGTACACTTCTCTTCAAATATTGAATGTAGCAAGTGGTTGTGGGGTTCCATTTTTATTAAACCCCCAGGGAGAATGGTGAGTGATCTGTCACCTTCAGTAATCGAACGTCTATTCAACGGAAATGAAAACCGGCATCCAATCTCTTCCACAGATTACATCGTTGTCGTAAAAATGTTATTACATGTCATGTCACTGAAATGCCCGGTCTATTTTCCATTGAGGACAGGCTGAAACGTTAACTATTTTTAACAGACTGTCTTAGTAGAGTAGGATGGGTTGACATTGACTAGGCTTTTCTTCGTCAGTTTATTGCATTTCAGCATTATTAGATAATAGCTGTTTTACGTAGATCCGCAAAATATTTTAATAGTATAAACAGGTCCCTATAAATAACATAGAGTTTCGTCATAATGTCATGACCGAGAAAAACCTCGTGCTGGTGCTGCCTTCGTCACGAGCCACTGTGCAATGGTCGCGTTCGCGCCACGAATCTCTTATTGCTGATTGGCTGTTGTAGTGGCGTGATATACGAAGCCGGTGAGTTCGGCGTGCGTGGCGGGCGTGCTCGCGCGCTAGTGCTGCCACCACGAGACTTGTGGGTACCCGCGGATGACGTAGCGTATCCGTATGATCGCGCGATGCGCCACGCCATCCGACGACGCCCACAAATCGTGAAGGTCACCGCACTAATCTTGATGATGAGGGCATTTCTAAACAATAATAACGATTAGATAAAATAAAAAAAAATCTCCGTTACTCTTTTAGGTTTCGCCAATTTTTCGGTAGAATTCTATGCAAAACAAAAGGCCAAGCCAACCTACCAGTTGAAGTGCTAAAAATAAGTATTTCTCAATTTCTTTCATACATGCAAATATTAACCGAAGTCCACAAATATTGTTTTAACATACATTTAAATAGGCAACATATGAAATTTTTCTGTTATTTCTCTGTAGAAAAACTAAAATTGTTAATGCATACCTAAATTTTACATATTTGCCTACGACGTCTAGACTTAAGCTGGTGTCTCCATTCGCAATATCTAACGCCGTTGAATATCTAAAGCAAATAACTACTGTTATACCTGTTATGTAAATATACTTACTTCGTTACATAATGTTTCATCAATAACTAGGTATTATTATTTAGATAACCCGCACTCAGTCACTAAAGTAAACTGTTAAAAACTCAAGTTGCAATATGACAGGTAGATCCAAAAAGACTGGTGGTCAACGTTAGGATTAAAATTACAAGATTTGAAATTCGAAGAACCGCAATGGTTTTCTTATTTTGTTTCGTTGATGGTTAACTTCGTGAATTACAACGATGTACTGCCAGTACCCATGTCATAGTAGTTTTTTATTAATTTTTAAATAGGTACTAAAAAATAATTCATTAGTATTGAGAACGGCATTGGTTGGTTGAAAAGTCACAAGGGCAATATCATTTTAAATGAGGAACAAACAATATATTAATCAAAATCAATTCTCAGTGCATCGAGCCGTGTGCATATGCATTTATTCATGAAATCATTACTCCACTTACGATGAATATGTGAGCAGATGTACTCAGCTACCTAATAAACGGACATAACGGTAATCACACATAATGTTTGAATTCGCCACATGTGCTAATCACGTCTATTTTTAGAGATCCATAGAGCTAAGAAATTATTTTTCTGTGTAACCTATTTTCTGACTGGTTTTCTAACTCGTAAAAAACTTTCATTTCCAGAAAATCGATAAATGATGTAAGAATTTTGAACAACAGCTTTATAATTAGAACCGTTATGTATTTTCCTCGTAATATTTATGAGGATATTAATTACTCAATGATTTTCTATAAATAAATTGAAAATTCCCCAATAGGAATTACCTGAGCCCATTTACACAGTACCGTTGCATAAAACGTAATTTAACAGTTTCCTTAATAATAAAATAATGACAAGCAAGTAAGTACCTATCAGATTAATGAGTCTTTGACTCTTGGCCCATGTAATTTGTGCGACCGTGAACTGACCGTGAATTTACGTCATAATGCCTACATATACAGGTAACGACATCACGCCACTCCAGTCATTATAATTTTACATCAGACCACCAACCAATTATTGTGTTTTTGAGATTTTTTTCCTAAAAGGAAAATCATCTCATTACTTATTGTGTACGTAACGCATGACTGAATTATTTACTATTTTACTAAGCACTTACATAATAAAATAAAATATAATTATTAAAATCAGTCGCTAGAATATTTATGAGGAAGTTTGAAAATGTATGAGTTTCTTTAATATCTGAAAAACGTTTTGTTATAATTTGATACGTCAAGTGTGTTACTGACGTATGCTATTTATTCACCTTGATATCGTTCACCGTACCCTGGTTACAGACGTTACATTCACTCCACGCGACGCTAAAAGGAAAAAATAACTCTTAGAAAATAAATAAAAACGTACAAACGTGGACCGAATAAAAGGTGGGGGTTACAACAAATAAACGGCCAAATAATAGGGACACAGGACACTGCAATAAAAGAAATGATTTATTGAGGTGTCAAAATGATACGGGTTTTATTTATATGTATAACAGGGAGTGTCTACTACACGAAAGTATTCTTTTGTAACTACGGTTTTTTTCTAGTTGTATCATTGAAATTGTTTATTATGTTGTTGCAACATAAATTGAATATATCAACGTAATACGTACGTATTAGGTATTATTTCTGAAAAAAAAACATACACCATAAATAACAATAGTTAATAAGAAAAGTGTTCCTACTTATATCAAGCACTAGAAAACTAGAAAAATAAAATTACATGATGTAGATAAGTACATAAATAGGTCCGTTTTTTCTAATCATTCCAATTGAAAACAATTTGGTTAATACAAAAACAATTCACATATTTCCTTCACGTCAGACATCGTGACTTGAAGTATTTTATGGTAATTGAGTCGACTTGGGTGCTTCATGTTAATTTAATCGATTACCCCAACGCGTCTTCTGTAGACGCAGTCTTATGGCGAAGCGGTTTTTACCCGACAGTTTACGTTTCATATCAGTTAAACCAGAGATCCGTCATGTTAGTCTGTTTGTTTAGTTTTATCGGGCACCGCCAAGCTTATTTTGCGTGCAAACCACACCTTTGAGTTCTATATCAACATTGCCCACGGTCTAGAAATATATTTATTTATTTATCTGTTGAATTTGTCACGTACACACCCGGTTATCTTTGGGCAGAACTAAGCTTTACCACGTCCACATTTTTCTTGTTCTTGCATCGTTGTCCGGCGAATGCGAGGCCACTCATCTCTACAAGGTCGCGCAAATTTTGGCTTACAAGTTTTATGCAAGCTTTTTGAAATAATTTCTTGGCAGAGAAATAACTTATAGTTTGGCGGGTACGAAATACCGAATAGTGCATGAAATCAGCGCTTGCGATTACTCATCCCATTAATATGCCTAGTTTATTTACATCATTGTAATGGCGTAGGAAATACCTTCCGTCTATGATTCAATCACAAAGTCGTATATACCGTGGATCCATATTATTGTTTGAGTAACATCAAACACCATGTGTAATGAATAAGTAGCACCTAGTCTATCTACAAAGCTTCCTTATAATTACTATACAAGATTAGACAATACAATGTATATTGTTTTTAATTAAATATGTCAATATTAACTGACCAGTGATTGAATAAACAATAATATTTTAATTATTATTGGTTAATAAGCTGTAATCGTCTGATCTATCGTACGTACAACGCACATGACCCAAGTGTCGGGTGTGCGTGTGCGTCGAATCACGCCACTCGACTCAGACGCACCATTGACCAAAACATGCTGATTAATTAGAGATAAACTGTAAATAAATATAATCAGTATGACTAATATTTTCATTATCTATTTTTAGGTGTTCTGGTTGACGTCAAAAAAGAGTTCGAAATCGGAGATGACAAAGCTGGGTTTCTACAGACAGTGTTCGTGGTGGCGTACATGATCTTCGCACCAATTTTTGGGTATCTTGGGGACAGGTACTCGAGGCGTGTCATCATGTCATTTGGAGTGGGACTATGGAGCATGACCACATTATTAGGATCTTTCGCACACGTAAGTTGTTGTTTATGTATAATATATATACTTTACCCATGATTATATTATGGTTACGTATCAGCATGACCAATCATTTAGCAGATGATTTAGAACAGTCGAATGATTTCGTCATCAATTTTTATCATAGCTATGGAAATACCTATTGTAATACTAAAGTCATCATTTTCTATTTATAGGACTTCGCACTTTTCACATTTTTCCGTGGTTTGGTGGGTATCGGGGAGGCTTCATACTCAACGATTGCACCGACCATCATCAGTGACCTATTCGTCGGCAATATACGATCAAAGATGTTGGCGTTCTTCTACTTCGCTATACCCGTTGGAAGGTAATATTAATGATATATTATTAAAGACGGAAATTGTAGAGAATGGTCTATAATAACACTTATATCTGTATGATTAATTTCACTAGTGGGTGAGATGGAAGATCCTGTATAGTGCGTCGGTGTGACATCAAATACAGTTTTGGAACTGCGTCACTTTGATGCGGTTACTGTGCTTACTCATCACTACTTAATTCACTCTGTGGTAGCCCAAACATGTGATACTTTCGTCCTCCATGAACTTTCAAAATAGCCCTGTATTCATGTGCTTACATAAAAGTAAATCTTACGTTTGTAGGGCATGGGAAAACACGTGTTTGCAATGTGTTTACTTACATATTTATATAAACGCTATTGACCTAGGCGCTGCTGAGTTAATAGGTTCCCTTTTCCATAGTCCCATACGACGCACGCAGTAATGTATGGTCGACAAAATAACCTATCTGTTAAGTTAGTCACAGTTTCACAAGGAAAGTTGAGAGCTTTGACGTAATCTTACATTTTTTTACATCTTACATTTGAGTTAGGGTCATCGTACACCGAACAAGCGCGGCTCCGGTACGGCTCCAGCCCAGCGATGTCATTGTTATTTAAATATGAACTTTAAATCGTATGTCGTATGACATATTTCATAACGGCACATTAAATAAGCTCGCGTGTCAGCAGCGCTCCTGCAGCGTGCTTACAACCATTTTGTCTTGTTTTTTTTTTTTTTCAAAGCAATAAACGCCGTTCCGGCGCCGTGCTTGAGCTGTGACGGAGCCGTGCGTATTAGGTGTGCCTTTAAGTGTGTGATGACCTTAAAGCATGTCCCTCTTTGCTAGTTAGGACTAATAGAGCATGAGTCTAATCTAAAAAAATATTTAACCAACCTTTCATTCATAACATGCAAAAGTACTATTTTAACACCAAGTGATGAAAAGTAGCGCATAGTATAAGCGCACTGAAATACGAGGGGCTCTTGTAAAAAAGGTCAAATTGTAATTTTATTGATTGTTTAGTTTGCACTAGCAGACGCATAAATTAATCGAATGGTAATTAAGTTTTTGGACCTACATGTGATACATGTTTCACAATACATGAAATTAAAAACTTGTTTTAGTTGCCTGCGATTGCAGTAGTTAGCAGAATTGATTAATGTGACTTCTATCAGAACTAGACACCAGCCTATCGACATACTTCCATCGATCTAAAAAATGTAGACTCTATTTTTACTTAGAATAAGGTAGAAAATCTATTACAGAAAAGTAATGTTGACCTACCAGACTTTATGCTAGGTACTTAGCTGCTATTGTCAGGGTCAAAGCGGACATGGTTTTATAACTTTTAGTTTCGATAATATCTGTGTTTTGGCAACGGAACGGCTCCAGGCGTCGCGTTTTGGCGACTGACTGTCTGCCTTCGATCGCTGACTCAGAATATGTAGGTACTCCCTACTTAGGTTCTCGCCTCACTTAGGACTTGTTTGTTTACTTGTACTCAAGTTCGATGTGTCATTGAGAAATACATATGACCTAGTTATAGATGCAGCAATAGCAATTCATAAACGTTATCTTTGATATCTACTTACTAAATAATTATGTGTTTGTGTTAAACCAAAATCTATAGAACGGGTTTTTCACGAACGGATGGAGTTTCTTGAGGAAGTCCAAGTAACGCTAGTTTAGCTACTAAAGCTGAATAATAAACTACCATGCTTATCCAACTACATCTCATCAACAGCCTATAAATGCCCACTGCTGAGCAAAGCCTCTTCTCACACTGAGAAGGTTAGAGCGTTAATCACCACGCTTGCTCAATGCGGGTTGGTGATTTCAAACTTATAATTAGAAATTATAAGTCCAGGTTTCCTCACGATGTTTTTCCTTCACCGTTTGTCAGTGGTGTCTAAATAATCTTAGAAAGTACATATAACCCGGAAAAAGTCACATTGGTACTTGCCGTTGGTAGGTTTCGAACCCGCATCCTCATGCATGAGAAGTGGGCGTCTTAAACCTCCGGGCCACCACGATAACTACACCTACTTACATGAGGCTAAGTTACACCAGCGCGCACCACTCTACTTTTTTTTTTAGTGGATCGAACCATAGATAAATCTATTGTTAATATTTCTGTGAATCGAACACATATAGAAAGACCAAAGTGATTAATAGAGACCAGCGGCGTCTTAAGCGTTTGGTGAACAGGAGACCAATCTGTGCCTTTAGCCAAGCGCTGATGACACTGACAAGTATCAAAATTTACGTCAATTCCATATTATTTAGTTTTCTATTCTACAAGTAGACAAGCGCTATATGGCATTTAGCTACAGCTACTGTAAAGAATCTTATTAGCTTATATATAAACACAATCCAAAAATTTCGTATACAATAATAATTAACCTTGTTTTGTCATCTTTCCAGTGGTCTCGGCTACATCGTGGGATCATTAGCGGGGGCTGCGGCCGGCAACTGGCGATGGGGTCTTCGTATCACACCCATTCTTGGAGCTGCTGCCTTAGTACTTATTTACTTCTTTATGCAAGACCCCCCTCGAGGACATGCTGAGGACAGCCAAATGAAACCCACCTCTTACAGCCAGGATGTCCGAGCTCTTATTAGAAAGTAAGTTACCTAATGGGTTTTTGTTTAACTTTTTACAATTCACTTGCAAATTGGAATAAGTAAAGTATTTTGATGATCATATGAAAGTTATTGTGATTGAGAAATAGTTTACCAAGTTAAGAACCTCCAATACAAATTAGTTTTCTAGCCCTGTGTTCTAGCAATTTGTTAAGAATGAAGAATTATTTTAAAACTGTATTTATTGTACGTACCATTGTTTTAAGTTTTTCCTCCAAATAGGCAAATTATGAAGCATCTATAACTTGATTTGCTATGTTCCAGCCCATCTTTTATGCTGTCGACGCTCGCGTTTACATGCGTAGCGTTCGTGACAGGCGCGCTCGCGTGGTGGGGACCTCAGTTCATATTCCTGGGACTTAGCATGCAACCTGACGTAGATGTTAGCATTGGCAGGTGAGTCTAGAAACGACTACAAGCTCCGTAGGTTAGACACTTAGACAGACTAGGGATTGCTATGAACATTTTAAAAAGGGCTACTAACATAATACACATACCGGGTGGCTGCGTGGAATCGATTTCCATGACAAAGTTTCAAGTTGTACTAATGTGCTGTAAGAATGTTTAGGACCTGTACTGTTGATGTAGAATCGTCAGTTTTAAGCTAATTGAGTAATGAGTACCTATCACAGTCATGTTGGTATTGAGTAAATGTTCAGTTGTAATGAGTAACAGTAACAACGCTAGACGTCGTCAGCTAAGGGGTTGGCTGTGCATAGGTGTAGGTAAAGAGTGTTGAGGTAATAACGTGCGAGGGTTGTGCGTGGCGCAGCGTGTCGTACAAGTTCGGGCTGGTGTGCATGGTGGCGGGGTCGCTGGGCGTGCCGCTGGGGTCGTGGCTGGCGCAGCGGCTCCGCGCGCACGTCCCGGACTGCGACCCGCTCATCTGCGGGTTCGGCCTGCTCGCCTCCGCCCCCGTCATCTTCTTCGCGCTCATCACCGTGGGCTACCACGTCGGTCTCAGCTACTTGCTCATATTCGTCGGGATGACCACTCTCAACCTAACCTGGGCAATCGTCGCCGATATTATTCTGGTGAGCGTTTTCTGACTTTTTTGGGCCCCAGCAAAGTGTCACACCGTCATACAATCTGTTTATGTTGTTTTGGAGAGTAATATACAAGATGACGCAGAGTATACGTTGCCGGGGCCCGGCTTGCATGCTCGATAGCGCATGCGGGCTATTTAAAGCAGAAATCGATCACCGGCTCGAATTGATTCTGGAGAAAATATTCCAATGAGATGACGCGGTTTCGCAACACTCCATTGTATTTGTAACGTAATTGCGCTGTGTGGGAATTTATGATGTGGTACAATCATCTCATCTTAACGCTAATCGTAGAGAATGCCGCTTCGATAATACATATAATTATTGCACTGAAGCTTCAGTCATGTCAATTACACATTAATATTTTCAGAACATGATACATTACAACTCATTTTACTTTAAAAGTTAAATGCATGTCAACTAGTATATTCCAGTATTGTATCAAGTAAAGAAAAGCGCTATTTATATTTATATCTAAGCAATACATTTATTTGGCATGAATGAAAGAAATTGCGATATTCGCAATAGTGAAAAAACATGAACGATTATCGGTTTTGCTTACGTGCATATTTCTACAATGATAACTAGTTTAGTGGCACATGTGGGAGTTGTTGAGATGGCAACAAAACTAGTCTGACATTAAAAAATATGCTCATGGGTCAACCGTGAAAGTGACTAGTATGCAAAGAGGAGAGATATAGTATAGAGGAGGTCAATGAGGCCGTATAGTGCATGTGCTGATTGGTCCGATACTTTGCACGAAGGGTGTCGCTAACGTTCGGCGTGATCACGATGGTGTCGGGGCTGCTGGGCGTGCCGCTGGGCGCGTGGCTGGGGTCGGCGCTGCGCAAGCGCTGGCCGCGCGCGCACCCCATCATCTGCGGCCTGGGCCTGCTCATCTCCGCGCCCGCCATGACCTTAGCCATAGTTCTCACCGAGGGCTACTACATAGCGCCGTTCGCCCTTATGTTTTTCGGAGAAATCGCTTTGAATCTCAACTGGGCAATAATAGCCGATATGTTGCTGGTAAGAGACTCCAACCGCAAGGACGCCTTTGAACTGCTATCGGTTTTGGTTATTGTACCGATTTTTATACAAAACCGATCGCATTCAGAGGCAGCCTAATGAGGGTGGCATTTTTTATTTTATTTGTTTTTCTGGTACCTAGATCTTTTCTAAAATTGACGTGGTTTTTTTTGGACTTTTATTGGTTGAAAGTATTTAGTTGCATGCAAAATTTAGCATGGTTTGTTTAGGCATCATTATAAATGTATTTATTGCTTTGTATATGGTGCTTGGAATAGTATGAATCAGTCACTCATTAGCACATATTGACGGCTCACCATTGCCAAGTTGTGATAAACTTTCACCGAAGTTATCTCATTGGAATATTTTTAGAACATTCAAGCCGGGTGGACCGATTTCAATGTGTGCGTATGTAACAGCGCCATCTGTTGGTATAAACTTGCATTACGTACTCCCTGTAAAATTCTTCCTTTATTCGCATGCAAGTAGTAATTGTAAAACGCTACAGATGGCGCTTATCTTAATAAATAGTAAAATTATTATCCAATTTTGCAGTGAAATTCCACGTATCTAATTTATATACAAAGAGTAGTTGTAGTCTGTACAGTAATGAATTTTAACAAGACTGATAAGAAAAACTTGTTCTATGACCATTCGAGCTAAAATATTTAAATGAATAGTGCATGAAATGAAATCTGTGTTTGTAAATTGGTGATTGTGACGTAGTGTTGTGTTGTCATTTGCAAAAGGTGTCTAAATAAACTGAAACTAACGTGTATATTGAACGTGTTACAGTATGTGGTGATACCGCCAAGACGGTCTACAGCGGAAGCTTTCCAAATCCTGATTTCACACATGTTTGGCGATGCTGGAAGTCCTTATTTAGTCGGTGTGGTAAGTGTCGTGTTGTTGAAATATATCCCCACTAGGTTTCGCACGGGTGCAATATGCATGTATTATGCGTATAAACCTTCCTTAAGAATTACTCTAACTATTAAAAAAATCACAATCCGTTGCGTAGTTTTATAGATCTAAGGACGTTATACATAGGGAGGGACAGACAGACGGCGGATAGGGACTTTGTTTTATACTCTGTAGTGATAACACCTTTTATCCCTTTACATAGATAACCTAGAGTCTTAGGCATTGGACAATATAATATTGTAGGTATTGCTAAGAATTTGTAGTAACAAATTATTCGATTACAATTGTTTCTTTATTAAACTATTTCTTGATAAAAAAACTATTTCTTATCATAATACAAGTGAGATAGACTTTATACACAAATCCTTAGATAATTTTTCTTGTGACAATATATTTAATCATTTTGCATTTCGTTTCAGATATCGGAGAGTTTAAAAATATCGTTGTCACCTGTACATGATGAGGCGCCGACACCGTTAGTGGAGTTCAAGGCGCTGCAATACGCGCTGTTCGTGACGTGTTTTGTTGAAGTCATAGGAGGCATATTCTTCTTATTAACTGCGATATACATCGTCAGAGACAAATTAAGAGTCGAGAGAGCTATTGCCGGTGAGTTATCCAATTTACACTTGATTTTACTTATCCTTACTAATATTATAAATCGGAAAGTGAGTTTGTTTATTTGTTTGTTTGTTCCGCTTTCACGCCGTAACTACTAAACCGATTGCTTTGAATTTTTGCACGTAAAGTTATAACTTATAAGTCCGGATTAAATAATAGGGTACTTTTTATACCGGAAAAATTTGATATTCTAGAGGGAAAACGAAATTATTGGTATAGATGGCGCTGTGTCTGTGTGTATTGGTATGTGTCACATAGGCTACTTTTTATCCTTTTGTGACGCGAGCGAAGCCGCGGGTAAAAGCTAGTAATCTCTAAAAAGAAGTGATTGAAAACAAGACTTTTTGAACATTAGTGTTAGCTTCGCTTTGGCTTTTTATTATCTTTGAAAGAAATTGTTCACATTGTTTCAGTTGCTTCAAAAATAGTGTAGAGTAGCGTGGTAGGTGAGTCCCTCAGCTCAGTTCAACCGAGCTTGCTTTGCCGAGCACATTGCATCTGCCTCTCCGTGGCTTTGGTGATTGTCGGGACGCACTACGGCACTACCACTCAATATCATAATTATTAGATATCAGATGATAATAATTTTGTTTTGATTTTACAGAAGCGGAAGCGCAGTCTGCCGAGCCTTCGCATATATCAGCTCAAGAGGGCGTAGGAGGGGGTGAATAAGAAAAGAGTACGCGTACGTTGGATAAAATTACCTCCGTGACTAAAAAGTGAGAGCAGAGTGAAGGACACTTTGGGACAGTAATATGTCCCAGTGAAATAACTATACTTAAATCCCTCTTTGTAATTCAACGCCTTTTCATGTTTGAACGTCTGACGTCATCAGCTACTTAATGTTATTGTTCAAACGCTAATCGTTCATCAACAATATTATAATCTATCGACGATCACTTCGCGAGTCACTTCTGGACGAGATACTTAACGGGGAGAATTATAGTAATTTTATTGCATATTATTTTATAAGACTGAGTCGTAAGGCATATTGCTTAAAGTGGGTTGGTTATGTCATAATGGGAAAACGACTGTGTGATTGTAAGTAGTTAGAAACTAGGCATCACAGTAGCAACTGTTACATATTTTAATTAAAAGCCGTTAAAACTAATAAATTATTGCAAGCTGTTTTCGTTCTTAAATTTAATGTATAGAATTGATCAATTGAAGTTCATATTTAATATAAATTAATTCATTTGTAATGCATATTCTGTGTCGATTTGTAATTACCTCAATTGTTATGTTAGCACATATTTATTTATGTTAAAATAAAATAGCACTTAGTGATTTATCGAAACGAAATAATGTCCGTATCGAGCAGTGTTCTAGTGTGAACATATTCATGCAGTTTAACATTAATTGTCATTTAGAGTTCCTAATGAATGTTGTACGTACAATGCAACATTAGAACGTTGTATCGTGACTAACCGAACTTTTTGTTACTATCTGTTTTATGGATACGACAGATTGTTCCCAATATATTTAGTATGTTTTATAGTTTGTTCGGAAGTACGCGTCTGTATGCAGTTGGGTGTTCTGTGGAGTATCTTTGATGAAGACTTAGTTACAACTACATCTATCGTGTATAAATTAAGTAATGCAAAAACTAGTTATTTGATATTTAAGGTCACATTAGTGTTTACTGCATCAAAGATGCTCGCACTACAAAGAGCTTTCACCATAACTGATACAGGCCAGATAGTGTTTATGTTTTTTATTAGGAATTGAACGAATCATGTGTGTAATTTGTATTAAGTTATTAATTATATTTACTATTGTTCCAAGCATTTCTTTGTAGAAAGACAAAGTTAAACTGTATTGAATATCATAGAAGACTGAATAAATTTAATTTTTGTCTAAATTTTTTCAAATATAAATAAATAAATAATAATTGCATTAATTGTGTTTGTACATACTAGTGTACATAGCATCTCATGGAATTTAAATAAAAAGAATATAATTTATTTTTGATAACATTCGTTTTATTGAATATAAAACCAATTATCAAGAAACAATCAACAAGATCTTTTACAAACTAACATGATGTAAAACTAACCGGTGGTATCCGAGGCGGATTCGAGTTCTTAACAAAATAATTGATGATTCACATAAAACTTATACTTCTACTAGGAATTAACTGGTGCTTAATAATTAGTTCTCCATACGTTCTTCATACATTGCCACTTAACAGATCTAACAAAGAGTTTGTTCAAATACAACTGAGTTGGTAACTTAACAGTTCACTTCAAACCTCGTTCTTATTTAAGTACTTAGGCTTAATATGGCACCTTTAAAACAATATGCATCCACATTTAACTGGTACAAAAAATATTAAAATTAGCACATTTCTTGTTTAACATATTATGGACACTTCCACATACAAATTTAAAATCAAGCAATATCTTAACAAACATGTCACATTGGACGAATTAAAATTGAGAAACATTAAAAAATATCACATGTCTTTACTGAACAAAATTATAAGTAACCATTAATTATTAAAATAACAATTATTCAAAATAAAATGGTATTTAAAACCAAAAATACCCGTCATTTATTTGTTGTACTTCCAAAATGCACGGTGGAATGTACAGTCAGACATTTTGTTTCATAATTATTGCATAAAAAATGACAATAGAATTATTAGAACCAGTAATATATAAAATTGTCGAGAGATTTTAATCAAAACTTACTCATCGGAGCAGCAGCTAGTTGTAGAAGTTGTGTCATCATGTTTTTTAGACATACCAATCCTTAGTTTCTTAGGAATGGGTTCACAGGAGCTGAAACTGTCGCTCAGAGGTCGTTTGGCAGTTGCTACCAGCCTAATCACAGTGACAGGGCCTGAATTGCCATTTTCATCATCTTCACATGAAGATGAAACAGACAACTCTGTGCCTGATGATGCTTGTTTGTGAGAAAGTAATTTTTCAACTCTGATGATTACGTCATTGTCCTGTAAATAAAAACAATTATAAAGTGAAACTTGGTTAAGTAGGACCTGGATAAGTGAGAAACCTCCATAACTGGAACTCATGCTGAGGTCGCAACACTTTGGCACTGAATTACCTCTGTTAGTGGTATGAGGTAAACCTGTATATCTGGGATTTGTTCTTTCGATTTATCATCATAGTTACCTCTATAACTGAGACAGCGAATAAATTTTATATGCATAAACCTCTGTAACTGAGATAACATTGTTTGTTTACTCATTCTTATTCTACCCACAAATTCCACACGTAATTCCAAGTCCACCTCTATTAATAGAACTCTCTGTAAATGAGACAGATATTTATTTATACCTGTATATCTAAGACACTGGGTAAATGGAATACCTCTATAAGTGAAACGACATTGCAGGTCCCTTGATGTCTCACTTAATCAGGTTTCACTGTATTACCACTGACTCCAGAGACTTTTTGTATCAGAAAATTATAACCTATAAGTTCTTACCTGCATCCAGCTATGATTCAGGATTTGGTTAAGTGTGATCCGTCTGTCAACTTGTACTGTCAGCATTCTCTTCATTAGCAGTTTGCCCTGCAAACTTATGTTGCGCCAGTGTGCCTGAGAGAATCTGTATCTTCCTGTCAGAATTTGATCTTTAAGGGACATGTCGTTATAATCTGCTGAGAATGGAAGGTAGCCGACGAGGCTGTAAAGAAAGGAGTTAATTAAGTATTAAGTATAATAAACCTAATCGACAATGAAAACAGAGTTTATTATTCTTACCATACGAAGAAAATTACTCCCAAGCTCCACACATCAACTTCTGGTCCATAGCTCCTCTGTCCATTGGCTCTCAGGACCTCAGGAGCTAAGTATAGTGGTGTTCCACACATAGTCTTCATGAAACTGTCTTCTCCAACAAACTTACTCAGTCCAAAGTCAGTTATTTTGACTAGAGTGTCATCCCCCTGGCTCTCAAGTAATACATTTTCAGGCTGGAATGAAAACATGCAATTTAGTTTTACATCTTTTAAACATTATATCTACAAAAGAGGCTACAAACAAACACTTTTACAAGTTTATTTTAAAACCAGATGATTCTAGCATTAAATATAGAGTAAAATGACTAAAGTGAAGGACCACAATACTATTTTCTAAGAATTCAGGACACAAACCTTCAGATCTCTGTGTGTAATACCCTGAGAGTGGAGGTATTTTACAGCCAGCACCATCTGTCTGAACAGGAACCTAGTAAACTGTTCAGACAAGTGTCCTTGTTTAGTAATCTTGTCAAATAGTTCCCCGCCTTGCATCAGTTCGAGGACAATGTAGACTGCGTCACGCGAGTCAAATACTTCCTCAGTTGAGATTATACATGGCTAGAATATAAATAAATAAAGTTTAAAAACTGACAACTATAAAAGAAAAGTTAAGGCTTAATTAGCTATCATTGCTCAGGTCATACTTAAGTATAGTTCCAGGTTTATAAGCCACATAATATACAATTTATGCACAATAAAACATAGATTGTGTTGTTACTTCTTGTCATTAGGGCATACTTACATGCTGTACAGCTTTCATGATGGCAATTTCATTCATGATCTTTTCTGGATCATTCAAATGATTGATTTGTCCATTTGTCAGTCTGCTCTTCTTAATTATTTTCATAGCATATTTGGTACACTTGACCTAAAATAATTCAATGTATCTTGTTTGTAAGGAGTTAAATATTTGACAATCGTAATGTTTGCATGCACATACCGGGGCAGAATGTTTTTTTGTTTCATTTTTGTGCAAACAACAACTTTGGTACCATAATTTCATGCAAAATAAACAAAATAAAATAATAATGAGCATTACTTTGTCATAAATGAGTTTGACTAGGCCACAGGCACCCTGGCCCAATGTCCTCGAGATATAGTACTTCTTTGATATCTCTTTAGGAACTTGATCCTGCTCATTTTTCAGCAAATCTTTGAAAATAAAAACTGGAAAACAAAAGAAAAAAAAAGAACAAATGTTACAACACATAATTGTGTACATAATAAATAACAAAGGCATAAAAAAAAGGAAACTAACTTTTAACGAACACATGAGTGATTGCTATTTCGTCGTTATCATCTAGTACACGGCAATTTCCTTTGCCAACAAGTTCACCATTGACAAAAGTCCCATTGTATGATAAATCAGTTATTATAGCAGGACATAAGGGCTCACTGGAAAAAAAATGTTATGTTTAAGAGAAATTCTTTAAATAGATATGTTATTGTTGGACTAGGTTTAAACCACTTTTAGGGCGTCTCAACACTTTGGGCTAATGTGAAGTGGACTACTTGTCGTCGGCCAATCAAATGTTGTCAGATTTTGGTGCGCACATCAAAGGATCTTGGCACGCTCCACAAATGGTCTCACATTGCGTCTCATTCAGTTTGTTATCATTCGTCAATAAAGACGGTACTGATGTGCTATGCCCATGACTAGTTGTCCCTGAACATTTTATTTAAAGGGCATTTACAATTCACTATATGGGCCCATCGCGTTAGCCCAATGTGTAAACAGGGACATTTACAATTTACTACATTAGCCCAGCATGTTGGCCCAATGTGTAGAGCCACATTTAGGTCCAATAACCTCCACGATGCTGGGCACACTGCTAAAAGAGTAAATACAGACCAATGCTATGACATTGTGCTTGGTAGTGTATGTGCTTATGGCCTTCAATAATTACAAACACTACTCAAGGAGGAGTAAATGAACTAGCTACTCCCGCAGGGTTTTAGCCATTGTTGCTTGGTTCCTACTGGTCATGGCATGGTATTTTATAGCCTATAATTTTCTTCAATAAATAATTAATATTTTGATATTTAGAACCAGCAATTCCTGAGATTAGGGTGTTCAAACAAACAAACTCTCTAGCTTTATATAATAAGTATACCAGTAATCACTTACGACATATCTCTAGTTATTCTAAACTGTTGTTTGCTGATATTTTTGATAATAGACTCCTTGATCACATCCCTTTTCACTGGATAGCTGCATGTTAGGGCTCTGCCCACAGTAAACTCTGGTTGAATAAGATCTGTGGAATGATGGAGACATGATATATTATTAAAAATAGTATGCAAGCTCTGATGACTGAAAAGATTTAAGGACCCTATTTACAATGTCTGATTAAGGTGATGTTGGCTTATCCAAGAGATACTTTTGCCACCACATTCAATATGGAACATATATCAGAGAGGTAAAGGAAACAGAAACTTAATCATACAATGTGAAACAGAAACTAACTAGGAGAAATAACCATGCAAACACTTTGTTAAGAAAGATAGTAAAAGTTTGTATTTTTCTTCAGAGGGTAGATAAGAGCAATCTTGCGAATTATTTCTGTCTATTTTCAGATATTACTACTAGTATTTCCAGTTTAAAGACAAGTTTAACATGCATCTAATAGACTGAATGACTGAATATTAATTTTATTGAATTAAATGGAATAAATAATACGAAGTTTCTGTGATGAGAAGTCTTTGGAGATTTTTACTTACCAAAATATTCAGGGCGTCGCGAATTTGACCAGCAGTGCCTCCCAGTCGTGGTAATTTTTGTAGAATATAATCTTCCCCAGATAGTAGGGATATAAGACGGAGTATTGTGCTGACTCCAGTCAATTTGGGAATTCTGGGTTTGCGTCTGAGTAGCACTGTCTGGAAGTTGATCGTCTGCCATTTTTACATATTTTTAAAAGTTTGCGTAAAAGTTTTAATTTCAGCGCCCAAACAAAGTAAAGTTTTCAAGTCAAACAGACGGTTTTACAGAAAATATTCACATAACTTCTTTCACTGACGGCTCACAACTAAATTTTTTTTGTAAATCATAGATAGACAAAGCGATACAAGGCTATTTTTTTGGCGCAAAGTTTGGCATTTGATGTTCGAAATTCACACAGATTAAAAACGTAAAACTTTTTCAAGAAAAAATGAGACTCACTGAATGAGTAGCGAATTTAAATATGTTCAGTCCATGTG